ATCAGAGAGGACACAAACAGATGGAAAAACATTCCATGTTCATGGTTAGGAAGAATTAACATCGTGAAAATGGCTATACTGCCCAAAGTAATTTACAGAATCAACGCTATCCCCATCAAGCTACCACTGACTTTCTTCACAGAACTGGAAAAAACCACCATGAACTTCATATGGAACCAAAAGAGAGCCCGCATAGCCAAGTCAATTCTAAGCAAAAAGAACACAGCGGGGGGCATCACACTACCGGATTTCAAACTATACTACAAGGCTACAGTAATCAAAACAGCATGGTACTGGTACCAAAACAGAGATATAGACCAATGGAACAAAACAGAGGCACCGGACGCAACACAACATACATACAACTATACAATCTTTGATAAACCCGACAAAAACAAGCAATGGGGCAAGGATTCCATGTTTAACAAATGGTGTTGGGAAAACTGGCTAGCCATGTGCAGAAAGCAGAAACTGGACCCCTTCCTGACACCTTACACTGAAATTAACTCCAGATGGATTAAAGACTTAAACATAAGACCTGGCACCATAAAAACCCTAGAAGGAAATCTAGGCAAAACCATCCAGGACATAGGAGTAGGCAAGGACTTCATGAACAAAACACCAAAAGCATTGGCAACAAAAGCCAAAATAGACAAATGGGACCTAATCAAACTCCACAGCTTCTGCATGGCAAAAGAAACAGTCACTAGAGTGGATCGGCAACCAACAGAATGGGAAAAAATTTTTGCAGTCTACCCATCTGACAAAGGGCTGATATCCAGAATTTACAAAGAACTCAAATGGATTTACAGGAAAAAAACAAACAAGCCCATTCAAAAGTGGGCAAAGGATATGAACAGATACTTTACGAAAGAAGACATATATGAGGCCAACAATCATATGAAAAAAATGCTCATCGTCACTGGTCATCAGAGAGATGCAAATCAAAACCACATTGAGATACCATCTCACGCCAGTTAGAATGGCGATCATTAAAAAATCTGGAGACAACAGATGTTGGAGAGGATGTGGAGAAAAAGGAACACTTTTACACTGTTGGTGGGAGTGTAAATTAGTTCAACCATTGTGGAAGACAGTGTGGCGATTCCTCAAGGCCTTAGAAATAGAAATCCCATTTGACCCAGCAATCCCATTACTGGGTATATATCCAAAAGACTATAAATCGTTCTACTATAAGGACACATGTACACGAATGTTCATTGCAGCACTGTTTACAATAGCAAAGACCTGGAATCAACCCAAATGCCCATTGATAATAGACTGGATTGGAAAAATGTGGCACATATACACCGTGGAATATTATGCAGCAATCAGAAATGATGAGTTTGTGTCGTTTGTAGGGACATGGATGAATCTGGAAAACATCATCCTCAGCAAACTGACACAAGAACAGAAAATGAAACACCGCATATTCTCACTCATAGGTGGGTGATGAAAAATGAGAACACATGGACACAGATAGGGGAGTACTAAACAGTGGGGTCTATTGGGGGGAAAAGGGGAGGGCCAGTGGGAGGGGGCGGTGGGGAGGGATAGCCTGGGGAGAAATGCCAAACGTGGGTGAAGGGGAGAAGAAAAGCAAAGCACACTGCCATGTGTGTACCTACGCAACTGTCTTGCATGCTCTGCTCATGTACCCCAAAACCTATAATCCAATAAAAAATTTTTTTTAAAAATGTAAAAAAAAAAAGAATTTTTAAAATGAACTTCAGCCAGAAAAATATTAAGGACTAAATTTCTTCTCCTTCCATAACCAGTAACTCAAATGGTATGGCTTTAATTTTTAAAATATGTGGAATCATAGCCTTCATTCTTTTTTTTTTTTTTTCTTTTTTGAAGCAGGGTCCCACTCTGTCACCCAGGCTGAAGTACAGCCCCAGGATCATGGCTCACTGCAACCTCGACCTCCCAATCTCAAGCAATCCTGCTGCCTCAGCTTCCCGAGTAGCTGGGACTACAGACAGGCACCACCATGCCCAGCTAATTTTTGTGTTTTTAGCAAAGACAGGGTTTTGCCATGTTGCCCAGGCTGGTCTTGAACTCTTGAGTTCAAGTGATCTACCCACCTCGATCTCCCAAAGTGCTGGGATTACAGTCATAAACCACTATGTCTGGCCTATAACCTTCATTCCTTTTCTATCTTCAATAAAAGAAAGATTATTATTCTACATTTGCAATATATTTCCTAGATTACAACTGGTTCACTGACATATTTGGCTGAATACCCTAGAAGTATCCTGCGAAAGGAGAGTCTCTCAACTTAACTGGATTTGGGCTCACAGGTGATGGTCTGACCTCTGCACTTGAACTACCTTTTCAGTTCTACCTTTTCAGTTACTAAAAGCAAGTAACTGCATTCTTACCTAACCATGTAGACATGGATAACAGGAATGAACCTCAACTTCTTTTTCTTCTTTATTTTCCTTCTGAGGAGGCTTTTTAGATGTTTTTTATTCGCCTAATGACTCTGCCTCTGAAATTTTAGCACCACAGACATACTATCTACCAATTTATGTATTTTATTTTATCTGTTTCAGTCTGTTCTCACACTACTATAAATAAATACCTGAGACTGGGTAATTTATAAAGAAAAGAGATTTACTTGGCTCACAGTTGTGCAGGCTGTACAGGAAGCATAGCAGCTTCTGCTAAGGAGAGGTCTGGGGAAGTTTCCAAACATGGCAGAAGGCAAAATATGTAAAAATCCTAACCATACATGTACTTCATAGCTGGTCTTAACAATAGTATCACTCCCCTTACTTAAATAGTGCCTAGTATTTTTACTGAATTGAATATTCAGATTAAACCAAAGCATTCTTTTTATTATTGCATTTTAGGTTTTGGGGTACATGTGCAGAACATGCAAGATAGTTGCATAGGTACAAACATGGCAGTGTGTTTTGCTGCCTTCCTCCCCTTCACCCACGTTCGGCATTTCTCCCCAGGCTATCCCTCCCCAGCTCCCCCCCCCCGCCCCGCTGTCCCTCCCCATTCCCCCAATAGACCCCAGTGTGTGGTACTCCCTTCCCTGTGTTCATGTGTTCTCATTTTTCATCACCCACCTATGAGTGAGAATATGCGGTATTTCATTTTCTGTTCTTGTGTCAGTTTGCTGAGAATGATGGTTTCCAGGTTCATCCATGTCCCTACAAAGGACACGAACTCATCATTTTTTATTGCTGCATAATATTCCACGGTGTATATGTGCCACATTTTCCCAGTCCAGTCTATCATCAATGGGCATTTGGGTTGGTTCCAGGTCTTTGCTATTGTAAACAGTGCTGCATTGAACATTCGTTTGCATGTGTCCTTATAGTAGAATGATCTATAGTCCTTTGGATATATACCCAGTAATGGGATTGCTGGGTCAAATGGAATTTCTATTTCTAAGGCCTTGAGGAATCGCCACACTGTCTTCCACAATGGTTGAACTAATTTACACTCCCAGCAACAGTGTAAAAGTGTTCCTATTTCTCTACATCCTCTCCAGCACATGTTGTCTCCAGATTTTTTAATGATCGCCATTCTAACTGGCGAGAGATGGTATACCAAAGCATTCTTATACATCAGATCCAAATATTAATTTTCTATTTAACTTATAGGGGGAAATGTGCATAGTTGCTTTCAGGTCATTTTATTTTTAAGCACCAGAAATAATCAGATTGAAGTTGGTCTTCATGAGACACTCTTGATGATGGGTGCAAAGGAATTTCTTAACATTCTTAAACATTGTTTACAAACCAGCAGGGCTTCATCCACTAAGAATGCCAGGCTTACCACATGTCTTCTTTCAGTTCTACACCTTCCAAGTTTGCTGTTGACTGTTTAAAATTTGTGTCTCATTTATAATTTGTGTCTAACTTATCTTCTCACCCCTCCACTGCGTACTTGATGTATCCCCTAAGACACAATCATTGCCCTTTGTTTCTGTCTTCAAACCTTTCTTTTTGTCTTAGAATAGAAATAACATTTCTCAGTACTTTTTCTATCCCTATCCCTGGCTTACCCTTATCCCCTATCTAACAATCATAATACAAAGTGAATCACAAATTATTTCATCTAGATTCTGTTGAAATAATTAAATTTCACTAGCAATTGCAAATTAAATTATTTTTATCAGATCAAGTGCTTATTATATCATCATTCAGGACTAGATTTTGTGAGAAAAAAGTTCTATTTCTTATGAATTTGAACATTCATGCATAAGCTAAAACACAGTCATCCCCTGTCCTGCTCCCCCAAAAGAACAGGTAGAGCAGATATCCCATGTTCTGGCATTACTGTATGCTCAAATTATGGAAGAAATAGCTGTAGATGATCAGCAAGCTTAAGAAAGAAATCATTTGTGGGAAGTAACTGTGTTACAGTCAGACAAACTTTGATTCGTGAAATGTTATGTAGTAACATAGAATGATGTGGTATTTTCCATGTGCATATAGGAACTACACATAAAAATATATATGTAAGAATATATAATTCATGTGCATATAGGAACTACATAGGGACTATATACTATATTTAAGAAATGGCCACAACAAATTTGGCATCATCTTTCTTGAAGGACAAAGTGAATCATTAAGATTACATATAAATTTCTTATCTATGGACATAAACTTACCATAAACAACTGTTTTATTTGAAGTAGGACAGATTTGGAAGACATAGATTCAAATTTTGTTGCTGAAATTCATATGTATGACCTGAGACAAGAAAATGTGTGTACCTCTCTTAGCTTTCATTTGCTTCTCTCTAAAATGGTAACAGTAATCTTGAAACTGGCATTTTAGTGTGTGATTTAAGTCACCTAACTAAAGTGAATGTGTCTGATAAATAATAAGATACTCATTTAATATAAATACTATGTAGCACATATAATGAGCAATAACTAGAAACTTAGCATATGAATTTTTATTGAGATTAAATAAAACAAAGTTTTCTTTTGCAGATTCAAATAGCTTCTCAAATATTGGTGAAGAAAACAAAACAAACAAAATCCTTTATATTCAAGAAAAACTGTGAGCTATAAGGAGATTTAAGAAAATCAGAACAAATTAAGAGTAATCTCATAATTTCTAGCATATTTTTTGTACTGAGGAAAAAAATTTTATGATAAGATATTGATTATGTCTTTCTTTTTTGTAGGCATCTTTCTTTGCTTTCAGTAAACTCAGAATAAGAAAGAGAGAAAGAATAAAGGTGGAGGAAAGAAGGAAGAGAGAGAGAAAGAAAGAAAAAGAAAGAAGAAGGAAGGAAGGAAGAAAAGAAAGAAAGAAGGAAGGAAGGAAGGGAAGGAAGGAAGGAGGGGAAAAAAGAAAGAAAGAAAGAAAGAAAGAAGGAAGGAAGGAAAGGAAGGAAGGAAGGAAGGAAGGAAGGAAGGAAGGAAGGAAGGAAGGAAGGAAGGAAGGAAGGAGGGAGGGAAAAAGGAGAAAGAAAGAAGAAGAAAGAAAGAAAGAAAGAAAGAAAGAAAGAAAGAAAGAAAGAAAGAAAGAAAGAAAGAAAGAAAGAAAGAAAGAAAGAAGAGTAAGGAAGGAACAAAGGAAGAAAATCCCCTGTGGTCCTTTCACTCCTCAGTCGTCACCCTCCATCTACCCATATCTAAGGATTTCTAGCCTCGTTTTTTGCTTTACCATGAGTCAAGCAAAAATTTTCGAAGTTCTGAGATCAAGATTCTGTGTAAAAGCCAGTTTCATGTATGTAACATATGTATGAAGAATTTAGCAAAGTAACAGGGAGACTCTAGAGAAAAACATACTCTAGAATTATCAAGCTAGGGATTTATCATTGTTCTTTCCACAGCATATCCAGAATCAACGCACATGAACATTAAAGCTTTGGTAAAGTATGTTAAAAGCTATCAAAAGATCTAGCCAATATTAAGTGCTCAATAAATGCTAGTTTCTGGGTTTTTTTTTTAATGTTTGCTTGTTTAGTTTTTGTCGATGATCTGTAAAATTTCTGAATTATCTTGCACAATTTACCACAGATATATTTCTCCCTCTTTATACATATCATCGCTTTCTTGCCTTTATGCACAGACTGTTACTCTCTTCTTCAACAAACTCCTCATGGCATTTTTTACCTCTGTGTTTCTCACTGTGTAAATTACAGGATTTAACATGGGGGTGAGGATTGCAAAGAACACCGTCACCAACTTGTCCACAGAGTAGGTGACCACAGGACGCATGTAGGTGAATATGCAAGGCACAAAAAAGAGAACCACAACAGTAAAGTGGGAGGCGCAGGTGGAGAGGGCTTTGTGCCGTCCTTCAGAGCCATGGGATTTCAGGGAGCTCAGGATGACTATGTAGGAGAGGAGGAGCATAGAAAAGATGAGCAAGCACATGGCTCCACTGTTGGCTGCCACCACCATCCCAAGTCTGTAGGTATCTCTGCAGGCAAGTTTCAACAATGGGAAGAGATCACACATAAAGTGGTCAATGACATTGGGACCACAGAAGGGCAAGTTGGTCATGAAGAGAATCTGCACAGTGGCATGCAAGATGCCTCCAGTCCAGGCTATCACCACAAGAAGGTGGCAGAGCCCTTGTCGCATAATGGCTGTGTAGTGCAGGGGCTTGAGGATGGCCACATAGCGGTCGTACGCCATGACAACAAGGAGGATGATCTCTGATCCTCCCAGCAAGTGCTCTACAAAGAGCTGAGTCAGGCAGCTGGCCAAAGAAATGGTTCGTCTCTGGTAAAGCAGGTCGATTACCATTCTGGGGGTGGTGACAGAGGTGTAGGAGGCATCTATAAAGGATAAGTAAGTGAGAAAGAAGTACATGGGTGATGAAAGTGTGGGGCTGGAGGAGATGGTGATGACAATGAACAGATTGGCCAGCACAGTAAATAGGAAAATAAATAAAAAAACAATGAAGAGTATTTTCTGCAAGTGTGGATTCTGTGTGAGTCCCAAGAGAATGAATTCAGTCACATTGTTGGGAGGCATGAGGTGATCCATTCAGGGAGTAACCTATAAGTGATAAAGAAAGGTGACCAGGGGTCTGAATTACCTATAAGAGACAAAGATGAGCTATTCATCATAAAAGGATTGTAGTCTAAATTTCACAGTATAGAGTTAGGATAGTTAACTGTGGGCCATGCCTTTGGCTTCCCTCACCCCAGTAATTACTTGAATTACTCATTTTCACTTCCTCCATGATGCTTTCAGTCTCTTTAGATACCTAGTATTATCACCTGTAAAACATCTATATGGCAACAGCTCCTGTGTAATTGCTGAGAACATTCTTGACTCTACTTGAGATCTGTACTCTTCCTCTTGTTCCAACTCCATGCGACTTTGCTAAGTTATTCCAGTGTCCCATGCTTCTGAGCCCACCTCCACATCTGTGAGTTTACAAACTGTAGCTGTGATACTGATTTTGTAAGCTGTAAAGTGCTGCTCACAGGTAAGGGTTATTCCCTCTTCTCACAGAATTTACATTTGAACCCACAGCCGCAACTGGAAGAAACACATAGTGAAGAAATCTCTCTCATAAGCAGGCAGATTAGGGAAACATATAAATCGTCAGAGACACACTGTCCCTAGCACCCACCGTAACAAATATGTTATTCACGCTGCTTTCCTCACTGTGCCTATGTGGTGCTTGACATAGTATCTTCAGTGCCTGACACCTATCAGGCAATCAATACATGCTCGTGAATTCCCCTACATCTTCCCTTCCTACATCTCCATGTATAAGGATGTATGTGTTTCCCCAGTCCATAAACCTAGGAATTCAAGTATTCTTATTCTCCTACTCTGTTTATTCAGGCTCTCTACCTTATGAGAAGCATAAAAAAACTTTTGAAAGGAAAAGGCATTCCAGTTTAATAGTTTCTAGCATATATTGTAAGGTGAGGATGGAAGTATCAATCGCCTGCAGGAAAGACTATGTTACTGGGAAATTTGACTTTCAAGATAATTATTATGCATTTTGTTGAGAGGGAGTCTCGCTCTGTTGCTCAGGCTGGAGTTCAGTGGCATAATCTCAGCTCACTGCAACCTCCACCTCCCAGGTTCAAGCAGTTCTCCTGCCTCGGCCTCCTGAGTATCTGGGACTATGGGTGCACACCACCAGGCTTAGCTAATTTTTGTAGTTTTAGTAGAGACAAGGTTTTGCCATGTTGGCCAGGCTGGTCTTGAACTCCTGACCTCAGGTGATCCACCTGCCTCAGCCTTCCAAAGTGCTGGGATTACAGGCATGAGCCACCATGCTTAGACATGTTCTTTATTAATATTATTTATTCCTCAAAATTATGTTCCACACACAATTTAACACAGTACCAACTCAGTAAATTTAAAACTTCAATAGATGGGGATTTAAAAAAAAAAAAAAAGTCTTGGAGAAGTTTTTCAATCCATAATCTGTCAAAGCCAAAGAACTTGCCATTTTCAAAGTTTTAAAAATAGAAACTCAATGTAGAGAACAGAAATAGACTGCTAGATAAGATAAAGTACTATATAGATATACACACACATACACAAACATATACATACAGCATCTACTAGTTCCTATAAGTAGGTATCTATGACTTACATAGTCACTCATTCAGCGAATAGTTATTGGACCCTCTACATATTAATGTATGTTTGCCCATATAAACCATAAACATGTTCCTCACAAAGCCCTTTTATAGGCCCTCCCCTGACATTTTGTTACCACATAACAATCCACCTGCTCACATGATGAATAATCCCTTCTACTACTTTGTTTCTGTTGCATACATTCTCATGCCTTCTTCTCCCACCCTTCCCTAATATCCATCATACATCACTCTTGGTTTGAGAAAACTCCAGTATTAATAGAAGAGGAAAACTCATCCCAGTTTGGAGACATAAATTTCCGCAAAAGATGAAAAACAAAAACATAAATATAACAAAATGTATTCTTTGAAAAATATTTTTCCTTTGAATAGTAAGTGGATAAAGGGGTTTATTTTTTAATTTTCCAATACAAAAATTGTGTACATATGTGAAAACAAAGTGCACCTGCTTCATCATTTTCTCTTATTCTGAGGTCCACTCCCAAACAGATCTGAGAGTGCGGTGTGTGTAAAGTAAGAAAAGACATAATAAATGTGACCTTAAAATAACTATGAAGAAATTAAAGTCGCCTTATCTTTTTCCTTGAACTTCACAATATTTTTCTCTAAGAATAAATCCTAAAGGAAAATATTTTTAAAAGAGAAAAATCATTCATTACTAATATGTTCAACAAAATTATTAAGAGCTGCAGAAAATTAGAAACTCCAAGGAATGTCTCATATTAGAGAAGTGGGGAAGTAAAATATAGTGTACCTCTTAGAAAAATGTGCCGTTTTTAACAATGGTGTTCTTAAAATTTGTGTAATATAGGAAAATTCTTATGTTATAATATTAAATGGGGAAAATATGGATACAAATTTGAATACATAATGTGATTCTAATTAATTCAAATATATATGAATAGGAAAAAAAAGACCCTAAAATATTTTTATTTCTAAAGTGGTGGGATTATAGTTGATTCTGTTTTTCTTGATAATTTACATGAGGAAGAAGAGACTTAAACCTTAGATTGATGGGGCTGAAGGGTGATTTTTAATCCTGAGATTCTATATTTATATTATTTCTTAAAAAACAAATCTCACCAATTAACTTGTCTGACATAGCTCCATGGCCAGAGCCCCAGGCAGCTGTTAGTTCATCAAGAAGTGAAGTTGTAAGATGAAAAATGCCAACTAGCTCAGCTCCAGTAGGTCTTTGTGGATTTATAAGTGGCATCTTTAAATAGTACCTTTCTCTTGAGTCTTAGGAGTGCTACCACATATCCTCTTTGCAGGCAAACTCTGCAAAGTTTCTTAGCTGTGGTTAATTAGATCTCACGGGTATTTCACTGTTATTAGCAAACCTTGCCTACAGCCCAATTAGTTCATGTTGCTTAAAACTGAACATAAGAGGAGAATGCTTAAAGCAGTTAGCTTTAGTTTTAACTCCTTGCTTAGGTCTGTGTGAAGATTAATCACTGTGTAAAAAAAAAAAAAAAACAAAACAAAAGTCAACCACTTATAAATTTGGACATTTGATAATATATCAAATAGACTTAGTAGGGAGTCTAGATATTTGGTGTTGTATAAATTAAACAGTCAGGTGGGAACTGACTTACATTTTTCATTCGAATATTTCCTTAATGACCTGTCTTTCATGGTTATTATAAATTTACTGTGTTTTCAGATGGAAGTTAAGTGATAGCAATGACTCCTAATACATTAGCAGTACTTCAGTTGTAGCTTGCAGTACTTCAAAGTAGTTGTTTCTCATGCTAAGTCCATAATTAGATTAACATGACAATTATGAACATAATCACATTCTTAAATTATATTCAGAATTGTAAAATTCATTTATTTCAGTAACTTAAATTTAATCTAACAATATCCCTATGGCATGGGAAAGATATAGGCATCAGTATTCCTGCTTTACAACATGGAAAACTAAATCAACGAATCAGACCCTCATCTGCCAAGTCAAGCCTCCTACATTCTGATCCAGGACTCTTAGTCTTAAATTCTTATTTTACAACTAATGAGTCATGAAATGTTTATGCTGTTGCCAATTGTGAAGCATATTAGAATGATCTGCTAGTAGAAACATTTACCTATATTTGAAAATATTTTTAAAACCATTTGAATTCAATTCAGGAATATTCCTATGTAGAACCATATTCACTCACCCATGTTCAAATATGTTTCCCAAAATAAGATAAAAAATTAACTGTTCATAATTCTGGATTGGCTTGGAAGAAAGTGGTCAAAGTGAACAGCACGGTCATGGTAAAAAAAAAATATAGTTTAAAAAAACTGAGACCACATGACAAACCTAGTTTGACTAGACAGTGCAGTGCCATGATAATATTTATGGTGGTAGGTGACGACGAAAGTTTGAACGAGGGATTGAAACTATCTAAAGAACTGTAATACATGTGGATTTTGCTAAGATGTCATCTGTGACTATGTCTTGAACTGTCTTTCAAGTCCGGAGTGAAAGCACAGAGCCAGATCAGAGAATGTGTGTGTATTTACAAGGTCATCATGCCTAACCTAATAAAATACCAAACTCTATTCATGATGGCTCATTAAGTGGCCATCCAGTCTCTACTTAAATAGCGAAGGGTGGTGATAGATAAGAGTTCTTTGGAATCCCTACACCTTTCTAGTCAAGCTCCCCGGATCCCAGAGTAACATGGAGGGAAGAAAGGACAGTCTACAGAGCTAGGTCCCCGTCACAGAGGGTTGAACATAAAGGTAACTTTCAAAAAAAAGAGTTCCTGGAACTATAAGAAAAAGTCTGTTTCCAGAATCCAAGTCCAGAAAGTGAGTGGGAAAAACATCGAAGAGACAGCAACACAGATTTTTCCAACTAAAAAGGTAAACCAGAACAAGCAAAGAAATTCAATATGGATCAGATCACAGTTGGTAAGAAACCAGTTGAGGCGTAAATTTAACATTTGACAGATCCAGGTCAGGAGCTAATTAAATGAAAAGAAGGTGTCTGACAGTGTTCTTAGGGGCAGTTTAATGCACTTCAATATACCCAGGAACACATTCTCAAAGTAACAAAACACTCAAGGGCAGAGCATGTATTTTCTTAGTGCAGTCTAAAAACCCTTTCATCCCAGGAGGACATCTCCTAAGTTGTTAATTAAAAATTGAAAAGTTTAGGGTTGTATTCCACTGCTGGACTATAGACATACAATTACTCTAAACACTTCCAATTTTCCCTCTTCTAGTTGTAGAAGAAGAAAATATAGCAATATATATGATTATAAATATCTTAGTATGGACATAATCACAGAACTTGTAAGCACCTTCCGAATGTTCTAAGTAAACTACTTGAAGAAATAGAGAGCACTATCTAAGGTCATGGAATGAACACAGTGGAACAGTAAGAATTAAGTCCATGTCTCCTGATCCCAAAGCTGGTAT